GCTTATAGCCTCTTCTTCAAAGACAGCAGAGGCAAGTTAAGTCTCCACCCTTTCATTTTATACCAAAACCTTTCTCTCTCACCTCAATCTCCTTTTAAGGGCTTTTAACTTTTGGCTCATTTTGGTAAATTAATCTTGGCTAATTTTCCAGTGTTTAAGTTCACTGTGTAGCAACCTCTGTTGCCCTGTTGTTTGTAACGTTGCATATACAGCAGCTCAAGAGTCGGCATGTGGCTATGTTGAGGAATTTGTCATGGTTCTGCCTCCCAGGTTGTAGTTGCTAGCATAATTTGAGTCTTATGGAGCTAGTGATATACTTAGCTTGAGAATTTGATAAAGGTATAGATAGATGCTAAATAAAGTATCTAGAAAATGATCAATGGCAAATCTAAAGAATGAAAAGCTACTGGCCTATGTTAGAATAAATCTTCTACATTGTACCACAAATGAGAAGCCTCATCTTGCCAACAAATGCCATTAGTGAATGTTTATTTCCTCAGTGTCAAAAAAGGATGCATAGATTCTTCCAGGAGATGGGATAGTTTCTAGTGTAATCTCTACTCTTGTTGAGTACAATGGAATGAACCATACGTGCTATTTTCTTTTCTTTCTTTCTTTTTTTTTTTTTCTTTTTGATTTGTTTTCCTTTTCAATTTTGTGGTTTAAGTTTGGAATTGTGTTTCAAAATGTTTGCTTTAGAAGATCATTTACTTGCTTGCTTGTGTTTTATGCCTTGCCTTTTGTTTGAGTACAGGCATCTGTAAAGCCTAATAACACAGGCATACTGCACCAGAATTCTTGAAGGAAAAGGTCATAAATTAATGGCCTGCCTCCACTCAAGATATTTTGAAGACCCAGAGGCTTCATGGAAATTGATCCTCTCAGAAGGCAGGTGGAGAGCATTACTCCATTTGTTACTTGAGTTCCAGGAAGATGGTGCTTCCCTGACTCCCTCTATATGACACTAGTGTCTTAACTGAGGTTGGCATTCTGAGAACTGTGACCACTTGTTACCTAGTTTCTAGATTTATTTGTATAGCTACTGTTGCACACAATCACCCACTCAGTCAATACTGTTTCTCAGGATCTTTGTGGTAGTGTTTTGACTTACAATCTTCATCTGCTCTTATTTATTCATTCTCAATTAATTAGAGGCTTTTGGGTAGCATTTCTTGGTTTTATCTATATCCTCTATTTGGGATTAAAAATACTATGGAAGGGAACAATTGTCTAGCTAATTTGGTTTCTAGTGCCTTGTTCATAATCTACTCAAGTTACCATATTACATTATTAGCAGATATACAGACAGGCATGATGATGGTGCCTAAGCTATCACCAAGGCTCAGTTCTGAGAGTAACTGATGAGTAATGCAGATGTTTTTATGATTCCTTAACTGTATGCTGTCTATACTAAAAATGAATGAAAGAAAAAAATAATGGCACATAAGTATACTTACTAAGAAAGAATATGAATTTATTAAGTTAAAAATACATTCAGTCGAGCCAGGTGGTGGTGGTGCACACCTTTTCTCCCAGCACTTGGGAGACAGAAGCAGGTGGGTCTCTTGAGTTGGAGGCTATACAGGGAGTTCCAGGACAGCCAGGGGTACACCGAGAAGCAGAAAAACAAAACAAAACAAAACAAAACAAATACATTCAAATGAACAGTTTCGTGTAGCAAATTCTGCATCTTAATGAAAAGGAATGTAAGGAAGAACAGAGCTGAATTATAGATGATGGACTGTGGATACAGAGTATATGCAGGGGTTTCTCACGTTTCCTTGAGAGGTCATTGGTGTTAATACTATGACTCAGGTTCTATAAAAAAGTTGTCAGGAGTGAGACTAGCCAAGACCACACATTCTTTCTGTAGAAATCCAGGTGGGGGCAATGCATGGGAAAGTGTGAAGTGTGAAAAAGATGAGACATGTACATTGATGTTTAAATAGATGTTATGATGATACATGTTTTGAAAATTTCATCAAGGTCAGGTAAAATCCAAGTATTTTTAAACATGGATAAAATATGCATTGGTGACAGTAAAATGGATGTTCTTGTGATTTTCTTTTTATGGAAACTTTTTTTTTTTTTATGTGAAAGAGATTTGAAAATACTGGTGCCATGTAAGTGGAGGAAAAATTGTAGAGGCTCCAGGGAAGGACTGTAGTCTAACAGGAGAGGAGAGAGAGGTTGGGTGATGCAGCCTTTTTTTCCCTTTTTCTTACATTTATTTATGTATGTGTTCATGTAGAAGTCAGAGGACATATTGAGGCAGTCAGTTCTCTCCTACTATGGAAGGTCTTGGGGTTGAACTCGGGTTTTGGAGCTGTCTTGCCAGTCCTAGAACATTCTTTACAAATGTAAACATGTGTAAATAAACATTTGTAGAAACTGTACAGCTTTAAAGAGTTGACAGTTTTATACAGTTGGACTTTAATAGGAATAATATGTTATATGTAATATACTTGGTGAAATTCAAGTACATATTGGAGATAAGCTGTTTAGAATATACTTGCAGTGATTTTATTAAGTTTTATTAGTTCTTTTAAAGTTATGTGTATGTGTGTCGCTGTGTATAAGTATATGCTCATGAGTACAGGCTCCTGTGGACACCTAGAGGTGTCATCATATCTTTTGGACTGGAGTTATGAATGGTTGCCAACTACCTGACATGGATGTTGAGAACAAAAGTTTGGTCCTTACCCACTGAGCCATCTCTTATAGCCCCTCCACACTAATTTAAGACATTTGATGATGTGATTCCAAGCCAACAAAGTAGGGATAAATAGCATGCCAGGAGAAAGATTGTTGTGAGTTCAAGGCCAGCCTGAGTTACAAAGTGAGTTTGAGGGTAGCCCAGACTTGGGCTACATAGCGAGAGGCATTTCAGAATGCTTCATCTATGCAGGAGATAGTTACCTTATTCATCATTGTCTTAAGAATTAATGAAATGAAGTACTCAGGATAGTACTAAGCATGTTGTTAGCATTCACCAAACATTATTTTTTAAATTTACACTATTTTTTTCATAAAAGAGCTGGTGTGGAAAAGAACCATTGACAAATAATAAAAACAAAAATAGGATTGTTGAAATAAGCTCAGTTATCAGGACAAAAGAGAAAAATCATAAAAGCTGGGGAGTGGTTGGTAGACTATTGCATGGATAAACTTGGGTTTGGCTTCTTTCTAGATGCTATCCACACTGGCCACACTGAGGGATAGAGGGCTGTGGGAAATGCTCTGAAATTCTGAGGAAACAGTGATTTGGAACCTCAAATCTATTTTTAGCCAAACCAGCTTTCAAAGTTAAGAACCAAAAATATATTTCAGGAATGTGAGGATAGAAACAATTTTCAAAAGAAAGGACTAACAAAAGGGCAGAAGCAAAGAGGTCAGAAACTTTGGGTCAAGTCTACATATTAAAGACATTTCTGTCAAGTTTAGGAATGTGATAGAAAAGTAAACAGTCTTTGGAGCAGTTGAGTGATTCCTACAAATCCTGTAAGAGGGGCAGTGATGGTAAGAAGCATACATTCACGGGTTTATTTTACTTTTAAAAATTAAACTTAAATTTAAACTGCGCTCTTCCTGTTTACACAGCAGTAGAATTAAGAGCTGTTTTGGTTGGTGGAGATTAATAGTTGAACTTAATGTTAACGGAGTTGCGTGGTTCAACAGTCTTACCAAATATAGAAGGGCAAAAAAGCAAAGGAATGAAGTGGATGTTCTGTTTCCAGGCCAGTCGAGCTGAAGTCAGCACATTGTCTGCCAAGGGTTAGGAAGTCCGTGTTTCATGTAAGGGCAGTACTGTCTGTGTGCAACCATACTGTCCCTGTGGTACCTAATGTTCCCTGACATTGCTAGACAGAAATAGCTATTGATAGGATATGTAGACAGTGGGATGGCTGAGCTCGAGGAAAGCTTCCTCCTAATAAATATGGTCAGGGTAAAGATTTCTAGTAGAGGTAAGAGATTCTTAGATTGGACTTAGCCTAAGTTATAAGGGAGTAGGAGATGAATAACCATGGCATATCTGTATTCCAAAACAGTACTGCATGTTTGCAAGGCATTACCCATCATCCCTAGCTGCTGAGATGAGTGTTGTAGTTATTGTGTGAGTTAGAGAGGCAGACTCTCATGGGCATCATTATAGAGATGGACTCATATATAGGCTGGCAAGATTGGGGACCAAAGTGCTTTGTTAGGAAGCAGAGTCAGCTCTGTGATTGGCTCAGCAGCAAGAGCTTTGGGCCTTCACTACACATGCTATCTTTATTGCCTGACGGACTTTGCTTCACCCATGATCCTAGGTAAAAGTTTAAGACAGGATGGACATGTGGTTGGCTTAGAGAGTTACTGTGTGGGGCCCAAGCTTTTTGTATTTTGTGATCTTTTTCCTAGACTGCGTAAGCTGTCCTGAGTCAGGCATCTCCCACAGAAGCTCAGGAGTCTGTGGTCAGGGAAGGATGGACAGGCATCCGGAACACAAATGGACTTATAAAAGCTTTTCAGTAATCAGGTGCATCTGCCTCTGAGATATGCAGTGTGACCACATACACACTCCAAGGAATGCTTAGTAACACTCTAGAATCTCCTTTTTAAGTAAACTCTGGTGATTATTGTTGAAAATAGCATTTGCATTTAGTTTGGGAGTACAGAAAATGAAACATTAGAGAATTCTTCTATGACCTGAGAAAGTTTTTTTTTTTTTTTTTTTTTTTTTTTTTCCTATTTGGTAAACAGTAGTGCATTGAGATTATAGTGGCAAGCTATGGCTTAATGGAGGTTTTTAAGAATTATGAAAACCCCAGGATTACCAAATTCCTTTAAAGAATACTGTGGCTCGTGTGTTATTCAAGATTAGTGCTAAATTTATGGTATGTTATAGAATGCTTATAATAGTAAATATAGTAAAAACTTGAAGACCTGAAAGTTGTGTTTAGTAGGATGTGGAAAATTGCTTTTGAAGTTCATACAAATGCTTGTCAAATTTTCCCTAGGCTGGGCCATGCAAGCTGCTGCCTTTATCTTCATTCATAGGAAATGGAAGGATGATAAGAGCCATTTTGAAGACATGATTGATTATTTTTCTGACATCCATGAACCACTGCAACTTCTCATCTTTCCAGAAGGAACTGATCTCACAGGTGAGGCAGACTAGGTTTGGGTCACACAATTTAAAAACTTAGAAACCACTAGTTAAATCTTATTCCTAACGTGAGGTATGTGAATATCAACAAAATTAATGAATGCCCCCAAGGTCAGTGAGTTAAACAATGGTACCCAAGCCAGATATGGTGGTACACCAATTCCAAAGGTCCAGCTATTCAGGAGAATGATGCAGGCAGATCAAAAGTTTAAGACCAGCCTGAGCAATTCAGTGAGTCAGTGTCTCAAAGAGTAAAATGGTGGCTGTGAATAAAGCTCGGTGGTAGGCTGTTAGGAGGCCCTGGTCCAGTTCCCAGTGCCATGGGTTAGGGGAAGACGAAAAAGAAAATAAATCTTAAAATATACTTTTATGATGGATGGTGATGGTGGTCACCATTATTCAAGAGGCAGAGTTCAAGGCCAGCCTCTCTCAGAGCAGGTAAGTACTCTACTACTACAGAGCTATATTCCCTTCTCTACATGATATTTTTGTAAGGTAAAATGGTATTTACATCTTAGGGCCAGCTTGCAAAAGCCGTGTTTGTCACATAGAGAAAGTAGACCAGTCATGGAACTTTAAAGTATTTTTAAGTACTTAAAGTTGAGTTGAGGAAATTCCCTCCCTCCCCCCTCCCCATTTTTAATGAGCTAATAAGATTATTTCTAATTTAGAAAAAAATCATTTAATTTTAAAGTATTTTTTAATTATTAGAGTTAATTTTAAATGTGGATTTATTAAAACCCTATTACAACATTTTATATTTCACTTTAATTTCTGAAACTAGTTTGCTTGTACATTTTTAGATTAATGTGTTTCACTGTTACTTTATATACATTCTGGTTCCATATACTATAATTGGTTATAACTTTTTGTTAAAGGGAAATTTAAAAAACACAGAAGTATACACCAAGATTGTTGTAATCCCACAACCCAGGAATGAACACAATTTGAAATTTTGGTACATTTGGGCCATCCTTTTGTCATAGATACACATATATATACACCTGTACACATTCTTAGGAAATATGTGTATGTGCATACTAGCTCCTTTTAACCTTAAAACTGGTAAACAGACCTGTTGTTAGAAGTTTCTGTCCTTCTGCCCAGTCCTGCAACTGATTAGTCCCAAACAAACACACAGAGGCTAATATTAATCACAAACTGTTTGGCAGATGGCTCAGGCTTATTGGCTAGCTTTCTCTTTATTATTAACCCATTACTATTCATCTGTGTTTCTCCACACAGATGCCTGAACCTCTTGCTCCCTGGACAGTTACATTACATCTCCCTCTTGACTCCCTGTGTTCCTCCTCCCAGCACTCTCCTTGTCTGGTAGCCCTGCCTGTACTTCTGTCTGACTACATCTTCCCTGTCCATTGGCTGAAACAGCTTTATTTATCAACCAATAAGAGAAACATATATTCAAAGCATGCAGAATGACATCCCCCATCACAAACCGAGCATTCCTTTGTTTCAGTTCTCTCTTAATATTCTAATCTTTCACATGGTTTGTCCTTTGAGAAGATTGGGTGGTTTTAAAATGTGTATTGGGATCTCTAAACAAAGGTCTATTGAGATATGCTTGAGCAGACATTAAGGTTTCCTCTAAGGGAGTAGTTGACCTGGCAAGCTCAGAGCAAGCCAATGGTAGAGCTCCGGGAGGAGGAACAGCTGAAGATTAAAGGTGATCTACAGAGGAAGTCTCCTTTCTTGTAGGGCAGGTAAAGAGAACCTTGTTTCTAAGACTGTTGATTTACATGAGACCCATTGCATTATGGAGTAAGTAATCTGTTTTACTACTCTGATTGAATTATTAATCCTATCTGAAAAACACCTTCACTGAAGCCTCTAGAATAAATGTTTATACTGTCCTCGTTTTGTTTCTGTTATGATAATTACCCTACTGAAAGCAGCTTAGGGGAAAAAAGGGTTTATAGCAGCTCTCAGTTGCAGATCAGAGTCTATCACTGTGTGGAAGTCAGGGCAGGAACTTCAGACAGCCAGTTAGAGCAGGGAGAGAATAGGGCATCCATGCTTGCTTGCTGTGAACTAGGTTTCTTCTCATATTGCTCAAGAACCCCTCTTCAGGAGACGATGCCACCAAGAGTGGGTGGCAGTTCCCCTGATCTGGATAATTCCTCATTAAGACTTTGCAGGTGCTTCTAGGTTGTGACAAGTTGTCAGGCTTACACAAAATTAGCCATCTCAGTGGTTAGGGTCCAATTGTTAGTTCCATTTTCCTGAGTTGGAAAGGAAAGCTATTTCTAGTTTTAACAATGATATCACATACAATTTGACACTCTTGTACATAAAGTTTCTTTATGTACATAAAATATCCTACTGTCTGAAACTTTATATACAAAATTAATTCCCTTTCTCGGAGCTAATGTTAGATGAGGAATAAACTAATAATATGTACAGATGACATAAGGGTTTGTGTAGAAAAAACAAAGCAGGGTGGGTAGATAAGCAAAGGAAGGGAGCAGGGTGCTAGTCTGTAAGGTGGTCAGGGCAAGCCTCAATATTAAGTTTCCATGTAAGTAGGGGCCATATGTACAAGACAGAAGACTGCATCTGCAGCAAGAGGCCTTTTGGGTAATTGAACAACAGCTGCACAGGCCTGAGGTTGGAACACACCCTGGTGGCTTGAGAAGATCAGAGTGGCCAGCAGTCCTGTGGGTGTGGGTGGAAGCAGGGCTGGAGTGGGAAAGTTGGAGGGAGGGAGCTGACAGGAGGCTGTGGTTGGAAAATGGGATGCTAGTGCAGTTACTAATAATGATGGCCTGGGAATGGGTAGTTGGAGGGAGAGGGAGGAGAACATTGCCACACTAATTTGTCTGATTATTTCCAACTTCCCAGAGTGTAACTGTACATTTCAGAGTTGTGTATGTTTGAACTGAGTTATACCTGAGAATCCTCAGAGTCACCAACAACTGGAAAACAAGCTGCTCATCTCTCTGGTGACTCCGGTACTCTTAACCCCATCTGAGGTCTGTCTGCTAGCTGTCACAGAAGTACTGTTTTATCGCCTGTGCCCAGGATATTCATAGACTGGTGGGGATGAGCCTTCTGATTTTCATGTCCAAGGCCTTTCCCTTTAGTTGCTGAGGAAGCTATGGGCATTTGACTCAGCACTTCTGTCAGAAATGACACAACACCTTCCATGAGAGTGTCTGCTGGATATTGTGTTGTGGGGTGCATCTGTGGTTGCTGCAGGGCTGGAGAACTCATCAATTCAATTTACTCCTAGGAAAGTTGTGCTTCTGTAGCTATTGTTCTCATACTTGTCTGTAAGTTTCCAAATAGAGCTGAGCTACAGGCCCTAACATCTGCTGTCATCAGAAGGTGTTTCATGATCTCCAGTCAAGGCCAAATTTTTGAATACTTGATTTTCCAATTGTATTTGCTGAATAATGAGTTTGGTTCTTCTTGGAATTTGTAAAGTGACCTCATGGAATGGAAAAAGAAGTTATTGCCAACAATTGGAACATATACTTGTCTCTGTAACTATATTCAGCCAAACCATGTTCAGATGTTTGTACATGATGTGCTGCTAATCATGTGCTTATTTTGTTGTGCAGTGGTTTTGGTTAGTAATATTAGCCACTCTGTGTTTGAGCAAGGCGGATATTTCACTCTGCTTTGAAAGACTAAATTATTGGGTTAAAGAAAATGTTGTTCTGATATATTTGATTGTTGGTTATTTCTTCTGGATGTCTAGATCCTTGTCTTTTGTTAATTTTCAGTTTTATTAGCATTTTATATTATATTTGAACTTTTGTTATTGAAGAATTTTAGTATTATTGATGGTCCTGGGGATTGAACGTAGGACCTTGCACATGGTAGACAAGTGAGAATTCTATCCTCACCTCACATAAAGATTATCTTTAATGAATATTTTAGCTTATTAATATTTTTTATATCTCAATTTTTATTATATATTGGCTTTTCTGAAGTCTTCTAAATTTAACATTTGGTATATAAATTCAAGGGTACTTACTAAGGCTCTGCTCATTTATATATTTATATATATATATCCACACACACATACCAGAAGATTGTAAGGGATTATTGAGAATATTTGCATTTTGTGACTGGAGACATGGCTCAGTGGTTAAGAGCATTTAGTACTTTTGTAGAGAACCTGGTTTGGTTTCTAGCATCTACATAACTGCTCACGTCATCTGTAATGCCAGTTCCAAGGAATCTGTTGCCCTCTTCTGGCCTCCTTGAGCACTGCACAGATTGGGACACATGCATGCAGGCAAAGCGTTCACACACATACTAAAAACGTTTGGAATATGGCAGGCAAAGTCTCCCTATTAGTCTCGGCCAGCCTGGAATTCACTATGTAGGTTAAAGTGGTCTTGAACTCCTGAAGATCTGCCTCCTTAGTCCCAGGATTGAAGGTGTGCCCACCTGGGTGTGCCTTGTCCTAAGTGGTTTTTTTAACCCAAGAAATTCTTCCTGATTTTCCTTACCTCAAGATCTTCCTTTACTTTATAGCTTTTAACAGTCTATTATTTTGTTTAGAAAATAACAAGGCTCGGAGTAATGATTTTGCTGAGAAGAATGGACTTCAAAAATATGAGTATGTTTTACATCCAAGAACTACAGGCTTTACTTTTGTGGTGGACCGTCTAAGAGAAGGTAAGCACTAATCTTAAAATGTGTGTTTAAATAAATGTGACACAGACTTCTGAGCTGTACATGCAGCTCTTTGACATCTACTGAGCCTTATTAGGATAGTGCTGACCTGTGATTAATAATCACCATCCTCTTCTAAATGCCATAAAATTGTATGTGTCTGTCATGAAATGCCTTGAAACATTATATAAGAGAAGGTTCACTTCTTTCCCTAAATGTCATCACTGTTCTTTTAGAATCTAATGTGCTTTAAGATACATAGTGCAATCTGCTGAAACAGAGTTTCTTTATATCTAAGGACCATGATTGTGAAGAAATGTTTGGTACCTGTCCAGATTACATTGGGATGGTTAGTTTGGGTTATTTTTGAAATTCTGTAATCATAACTAATGTGATGTGGACTTGTGATCTTGACTTAAACTTTGCCACTGGACACTGTGTGCCTTGCCTGTCTGCATGCAGAAGCTCTTGAAGGTTGGGGCTCTTCATGCCTGTGTGGAGTGGGGCAAAGGCATTCAGGTAGTGTGCTCACTCTTGTCTCTCTCATCTCTCTTCTCTGTGATGTTAGGTACCACTTTAGTATCTAACTTAGACTCAACAATATGGTTTCTATTGTATGTATTTAGTGACTTCTTTAAAAGTATATGTGACATCAGAAAACACATTGTATTTCTCAGTTAATAGAAGATGACTTTGGGACTTATCTTTTACTTAAAGATCATCCTTAATACAGACAAGAGAATGGGGAGATTAATTTATAGTTGATCAGAGTATACTTGCTATATTCTCTGTTCTGAAATCTAGCAACCTGATAACTTTGCTGCACACTTGAGAAGTGTATATTGCTCAGAGCGTTAGTCAGTAACCACATGTAGTGATTTTTCCTGCCAGAATTAATGACTGATTCCCTTCCCCATACCCTATATTAAAAAAAGGAAGAGTGATAAATTCAGATGACCTCATTTGCCTTGGTTAGAAAACCAGGTGATGATTCTGTTTATTGCATTTAGAATTGTAGGCTTGAAGCCTGTACTGAAAAAGGAGAAACATGCTGATGGCTGTTAAAATAGTAATAGCATTGACATTGAGTATTTACAAGTATCAGGCATTGTGCTAAATACTTTTAATGTCTGAATTCACTTCTTCCTCATAAGCCTCCAGAGCAGTTCTCACTATCAAACAAGGGCAGACAGCAAGGTGAATAGTGTTGAACAGAGTAACATATGCTCATTAGTCTCCTGACCATAAACACTTTCATAACCTGAGTGAACTGGATGGTTTTAAGAGAGAATCCAAAGAAAGAAAGACAAAAAGATGACCAGATAATGGAAGGATAATGGGCCCAAGCAGGTGTTGGGATGCTGAGTTGAGGTAACAAGAGGAGCAGGTACACACTAGGGGAGCATGCACTGCTTGCAATGTTGGGGACAGGGATGGGGGTTCAAATGAATAGAGTAAGGTCTGCATCAAGGTCCAGCAATGAAGAGGATCTTAGAGGCCACTGAGTCCAGAGTATTCCTTTAGGAAAGGAATAGAAGACTCAAAAGGAGGCCCAGCATGGCTTTCTGATCTAAAGGCTATGGAGATCTGTTTTGACAGTGCATTGTGAAAAGAAAGCTTGCTGTTACAGCACATGGCCTTACAATTAGTATTCCAGTAGAACCCCAAAGACTACACATTAAAACAAATCACCATAAAACACCATCTTCATGATTGACTTGCAGCTGTTTGCAATAGACAGCAGAGACAGACGAACATGAGTTCAGAACACAAGGAGGTGAGGATAAAGCCAGACAGGCATTACTGAACAGGATGAGAGGGAGAACAAGGAAGGGAGCCCATATCTCTCTTTAGAGTCTGTTTTACCAGGACTGAGAACACTTGGAAAATCCAACTGAAAAATGTAACACTAATTATGTAATGTTTTACAAGTAGGTTGTTTCTGTAATAGTAATTGCAGCTTGCTTTGAGTGTCTTAATTTTTGCCATCGGTGTACTCACTTTATAGTCTTGCTAGACTCTTACTTTCTTGGGGATGTGGAATTGCCCGGCAAATAAAGATAATCAGCATTAGTTGTGTTGAATCAAAGACCCTGAAAGTCATACAAAGTAGTATCCTAGCACACTTTTTAGAAACATTGTGTGTTATACTGGTAGGTATTTGTTATGGGTCTCCTAAACACAGAACTTTTCAATGTGATCTTTTTTTTTTTTTTTTTTTTTTTTTTTAATACTGCAATAATCAAACTCAAAAATAGAGGGAAAGGGCTCATTTTTATTTGTTGTAATTATCACTTATAATAAAACCTTAAACCTTGAAACCATTGTCTCTAAGACTATTCATTATAATCTTTGGTGACTTGTAGTTTTTCTTTGATTTCAACAAGTAATGATTTGGTTCGACCATTATAATTTTGTCATAGATGGTGTGGTTGTAATAATCATGTTCACCAGTAGGAGGCACAGGTATGCTCATTTGAAAGCACCAAGTCCTGTTGAAACAACCTGAAATAAGGCTAGCCTGACTAAGCAGGGGAAGGAAATGTAAATATTTGTTTTAAAGTATGGTCCAGTTTGAGATAGGATTTTGTCTTCAAGAAGTTTATAGTCTTAATGGATAGAGATACGAATGGTAGGCAGTGATAAATGTCTAAATTAACATGTATGTTAAGTGCTAAGTTTCATGCAAATATTGTGCTAAATAGAACAGAAACTGCTCATTTAAGAGGATCCTATGGTACTGAATATTCATGTGTGACGCTTGTAAGAAGCTGAGTTTCCCTTGAACACTGGAGACTGTGAGCTGGATAGGCAGGGAGAACATTTATGGATGAAGAAGTTCAAGAAAGGCTCAGTCAGGGCTGGTGTGAACTGAGCAGTCTCCTTGCAGACATTAGCCTGTGGGAGCTGAAGACAGTTTGTAGAGTAACAGTCAGTACTTTAAATGTTGTTTGGAGCCCTGACTGTTTGAAAATGTAATAGCTCAGAGTCATAGCTTTAGTCTGTTAATAGGTTGAGTCACCAAGCAAAGTGGCTTATTTACTAAGACTCCAAATAATCATGTAGATATGTTTAAGTTTTAGGTTTGAAATCAGTCATTTTTTTTTTTAATTGAAACAGGTCCGAATTTGTTTATACTTAGCTCATATGCATAAAATCTACAGGGGGAGAAATGGAGGATATAGCCTCTCAATGAACCTGGGTAGCACTGAGTTAGCCACTAAAGAAAAAGTAAATTCTCACAGGGTAATTGGATTAGCGCACTTGAATAGAGCCCTCTGATTTGTTCAGGAAAGGAGAACTGCCAACTTTTAACACTGGATTTTATGCATATTTGATATCTGTTAGACCTGTGTCTGGCACTCCTGTGTTGGTTATTATTGCCCTTCTTTGCTATGAGAAAACTGTAAGCAACAGCAGTACATTCATAGGCACCGCAGGCTTCAGCAATATTGTGAGGCTTTAACCTCTTGAACTTGAGGCTTGATTTGCACCTGCCTGCTGACAGATTGTTGCTGCCATGGCTTTATATAGGGAATGAGTAAAGCCAGCATAGGTCACCGCCCTGTGCAGCAAACACTCCATTTATTTTAGTCAGTGAGCCTCTCCCAGGATGGAATTTCAGCCACCCTTCTCAGCTGCATGTGAAAGATGGCAAGGAAGATAAGCAGGCATACAAACAATTGAAATATTGGGGGCATTAAATACCATGCACCCTGACCTTTCTTGGCACTGTTCTTAATTGCTGAGAGCCATTTATAAATATGCCAAGACCTTTCTGTTATGTTTAAAAATGTGATTGTATACTAGACCTTTAACATTTGCAAGAATATTTCCTATTCCGCTTCCCCACATTTGCAGATATCTTTGTAGATGAGCATTTGGCTTTCCTTTGAGGTCATGTCATAAGGAGCAAACCCTGTCTGTTGATTGTGCTACATATGCACTACAACACCTAAGAGGAGATTATGTCCTGATCAGCGGGTTGAGCACATGGGCCACTTAAGTGACTTGGTGATTTACATGTTGTGAATGGCATTTCTGTTTTCTCTGTTCATTTTACCTCCCTATAGCAAAAACAAACACACAGAAAAAAACCCAAGCTTTTCATTGTGGACAGATCCTGTCTTTATCTTCTCATGACAACCTTCATGAAAAATGATGGCATATATATATATATAGTGATACAGATGCTCATCATGTTATAGGCATAGAGTCATGCATGTTCTCCTTTACCTTGTTTATGTAGTGGAATCATTCGTGCTGCCTTTACAAATGTAGACACTTAGCTTCAGCCCAGACCTGCTGACTCAGTTTGGTGGTGCCATCCTGGGTTTGTAGTCCCTAACCTCCCAATCCACTGTCACACATACTACCTAATTCTCCCAGGTGAGCTATGTACCATACCTATACAAACAGGCTTCCTTCAGCAACTTGTCTGGGGTCATGTGGGTGAATAGAAAGATTGTAATTTGAAGTTAGGAGGTTTGTTTCATGCTAAAACGCATGCACTCCTCAATATAATAAGTTCACAGTTTTTTTTTTTTTTTTGCTACAAATACTACAAAATTTGTCTCTGTAGCAACCCTCTAATCAAAGATTTTACTTTTTGGGTATATTATAAATTTTGTTTAAGTGTGTATATGTGTGGTTTTCTTTTAGTAACTTGTTTTCTGTAATATCTTTATTTACCAAGTCCATCTCCATTTCTCTAAGAACCAGTGAACATTTGGAATGGAATATTCCTATCTTAAAATATAACACCAGTTATATCTAGTACACTGTACAGATAAGTTCTTTTATTCCAGGTACCTTGATTGCCTTTGTGTTTCTTCTAGAGTATAAATAATTGCAACCAAACCCAAAATCATATTTGAAGTGCCCATTCTTTCAAATCAGGGCCTTATCCTTACTTTGTCTTAGCCATTAAGTCTCAGATATGCCTCATAACTTGATGTTCGCAGTGTAGTGTCTTTCTTTCTATTAAAAAAATGAAGGTATTT